ATAGCCACATGCAAAAGAATGAAGGTGCACCCCTTCCTCACCCCATATATAAAAATTAACTCCAAAGCGATCAAAGACCTAAATGTAAGAGCTAAAACTATAGAATTCTGAGAAGAAAAAAAAGGAGTAAATCTTTGTGACCTTGGATTAGGCAATGGTTTCTTAGCTATAACACCAAAAGCACAAGCAACTAAGAAAAAAATTAGATAAACTGAACTTTACCAAAATTAAAATTTTTGTGGTTCAAAAGAACACTATCATGTTGTGCATTTATCACTACTATCCATTTCCAAAATTTTCCATCACCCTTAACAGAAGTTCAGTGCTCCCTAAGCAAACTTGATGAATGTAATTAATGTCACTGAATTGTACATGTAAAAAATGTTGAAATGGCAAATGTTTTGTTATATGTATATCTACCACAATAAAAAAATAATAGTAATAAAAAAAGAACATTACCAAGAAAGCGAAAATATAACCCACAGAATGGGAGAAAATGTTTGCAAACTATATATCTGATAAGGATCTAGTATCCAGAATACATAGAGAACTCTTACGACTCAACAACAAAAAGACAAACAACTCAATTTAAAAATGGACAAAGATTCAAATTGGCATTTCTTCAGAGAAGATATACATAAGGCCAATAAGGACATGAAAATATGCTCAACATCATTAGTCATTAGGGAAATACAAATCAAAATCCCAATGAGATACCAGTTCAAACCCACTAAGATGGCTATAATTAAAAAAACACAAATTAGAACCCTTGTATGCTGCTGGTGGGATTGTAAACGGTGCAGCCACTTTGGAAAAGTGTGGCAGTTCCTAAAAATGTTAAACATAGAGTTACCACATGACCCAACAGTTCCAAAAGAACTGAAAACATGTTTACATAAAAACTTGTACACAAATGTTCACAGCAGCATTACTCATAATAGCCAACAGGTGGAAACAACTCAAATGTCCATCAACTGATGAATGGATAAACAAAATGTGGTATTCCATATGATGGAATATTATTCAGCCATAAAAAGAAATTAAATACTGATACATGCTACAACACGGACAAACCTTGAAAACATGCTGATTGAAAGAAGCCAGTCACAAAAGACCACATATTACATGATTTCCTTTATATGAAATGTACAGAATAGGCAAATCCATAAGACAGAAAATAGACTAGTGGTAGTCAGGGGCTTAGGGGAAGAGGCGAATGGGGAGTAAGTGCTAATGGGTACAGGGTTTCTTTCTGGGGTGATGAAGATGTTCAGGAATTAGAGGTGATGGCTGCATAACCTTGTGAATATACAAAAACCACTGAATTGTACACTTTAAAAGCATGAATTTTATGGTATGTGAATTGTATCTCAATAAAAAAGGAGGGTGGCATTTCAACTGCCCATTGGACATACAAAAGCAGGAAAATAATTCTAGGCATAAAAAAAAATACAAAGTGGAAAGACTGGAAGCACAAAAAAAAAAAAAAACAATTCGCCGTCAGGGAACTAGAAGTGGTTCAGTTGGAGAAGATAATGCACGGCACCAAAGCCGAGGAGCTGCCCGTGGACTGGGCCTCAGCAGGGACCAGGGCTGGGCATCACCTGGCTGACCCTGCTTGTGTCAAGCTCTTCTTCACTATGGGCCTTGGGCAGGCTCCTCTTTAAACTTGTCTCGTCAGGATGACATCACCGCAGGTTGTTCAAAAGATGAAATTAGATCACATGAGTAAAGTGCTCAGCACAACGCTGGCACATGCCACAATCCCATTAATAATAATCATAATAATGATGATAAGGTTGGGATGGAAAGAGACAGAGGTTGGAAACATAGCAAAAAGTCAGACAAGTGGTAGTGATTGTGACAGAGAGGAAAGAGCTTTTCCGGGTATGTAATGGGTAGTGAACATTCTTTGGGAGGTATAGTAGAACTGATGAGGAAGAAAGTGTTTCCTCAGACCTGCAGCGCCCTTAATCCCAACCACCCTCCCCCCACACCTCTGACCCTGGACCCTGCTTGGGCCAGGACTGACCTCCCCCACCCACCGGTATATGCACAGAAGCAGCAGAAACTGAGGTGATAAGGTAATGAAGAAACAAATCATGAAAGTCCTATACATCCAGCCAAGGAGGAGGTCATGGGGTGCCTCCCATGAGAATGGGGTCTCCTCCCATGAGAATGGGGTCTCCTCCCAGGAGAATGACATAACCAAATTGCTTGACTCAATCCATCTTTTCAAGGAAGCCCTGTTCCAGCTGACCATATATAAAAGATATTTATTCACAGCATTGGCTATTCTAAATTTTCTCTCCACTAGAATATGAACTCTTAGCAGGCAGCCCTATTTCCAACCTTGACTCTATAAATCAAGTACAGATTAGACTTTGGAATTCTAAAGATATTTAGTGAGGCTGGCAATTTTGACAAAACTCTGAACTTCTCTAACTTCACATCTTTGCTCACACTGTTTCTCTGTTCAGAATGCCTTCCTAATCTCAAATTTGCTCAAAACTTCTCCATCTTTCATGGTCTATTTCAAATGCCACTTCCTTCTGAAGGCTTTCCTCATTGCCACCCACGGAGGGTGTATTTTGTACTCTTCTTAGGGGACTTATTTCCTTATATTACACTTATTTGGGCACTCCTCTCCCTCATACATGTTTCGCTCCACACCTACAGGAATCTAAGCACCTTGGGATAAGTTCTATGTCTTTCTCAAGTCTTGTAGCTCCTAGCACTGTGCTGCATAGATTCCAAATTGAACTGTTCCAACTGTGGCAAAAATGATAGAATCAGAGACAGACATAATCATTATCAAAAAACAAACATTTTAAAAAATCCTAGAAGAAATGACACAAAACAGGATGCAGACACAAAAAACAGAGAGCGTATGTTGAATCAATCTGTGACGACTTGGCTTGTTTATATCTGGTCGTTTTCATAACATGGATTTCATTTTGCTAGAACTCCAGAAGACTCAGATGAAAAGTAATGGTCTACCAGTTGCTGCATTCCCAAGTCTGTGGTTTTCCGATGGTATAAACAAAAGATTCTGAAGGCATGGTCTCTGTTAATATTTGCTAGTGTGGGTCTGGGGGAGAAGTTTGAGGGAAATCCACCTAATGGACTGACAGTTCATATAAGCAACACCTGGAGCATTAAACCCTCTCTAAGTGTTATTTTACCGGGGAGGGGGGAATCCATTCTTCCTTGGGTAAATGTACAAATTCTTTCACCAGCTGCATTCCAATCTCAAGTGTGTGGCAGTTCAGGAGAGATAGCAGCTGGAACAGATCACATTCAGGACGTAGTGAATGTTCACCAGCAGCTTGGGAATAATAAGAACCTACAAAATGAGTCGTCAGGGCTATGTTCCTGCCTTTAAGAGAATGGACTGGCCTCAGTTTGCCTGCTCAGAGTGTTCCGCTTATAAACATTGAGAATACTGGAAACACATATCGAGATCTGACTGGCAGAAGGATCGGCCTTTGAACAGGAACTTTGTGGCATCAGCTACTTCAGGACTCCTCACATCACTCCATAAAACTCCAAGGCGTAAGTTTTTGGTTTTAGTCATATTTTTGTTAAATATTTATAATTGACTGCAAAACAAATTCAGATCAATTGTCTTCTTACACAACCTGTAACACGGCCACTGCTCCTGACAAGAGGGAAAGAGAACTAAAGTTTATTGAGTGATTATGTGAATGGCACCAGGCCAGTCACTCTCTTCATGTTCCATCCTCATGACAACTCTGGGAGGCAGATATCTGCATTTACATACAGATGAGGAAACTTGGGCCCAGAGAGGTTAAGTCATTTGCTCAGCATCCCTAAAGGAAAAACTAGAAGAGTTAGGTCTGTCTACCTCCGAAGCTAATGCTCTTTCCATGGCACTCTGCTACTGGCCAGTATGCTATGGAGAAGTTCTCTCTCCAGAATTGGCAAGAATGCTACAAGAGCCTATGATTCTAAAAGTAGGGTTGGCAAACTTTTTCTATACAGGGCCAGACAGTAAATATTTTAAGGCTTTGTGGGCCATATGGTCTCTGTCATAAATTCTCAACTCTGCTGTTATAGCACAAAAGCAGGCATAGAAATGCATAAATGAACGAGCACAGATGTGTTCCAATAAAACTTTACTTACAAATCAGGAAGCAGGCCAGATTTGGCCTACAGGCTATAGTTTGCTGACTCCTGCTCTAGAAGGTTCTAGAGCATGTTATTTAGCTTAGGAGTCAGTAAAGGATTCCTTACTTCCAACTTAATTAATCAAGAGCATGAGAGTCTTCTTTATCAAAGATAATATGAGGGTCAAAAAAAACCCCATATCCAACTCATAGCGACCCTATAGGACAGAGTAGAACTGTCCCATAGGGTTTCCAAGGAGCAGCTAGTGGATTCGAACTGCCAACCTTTTAGTTAGCAGCTGTAGCTCTTAACCACTGTGCATGGTTCATGCACTTAAAGAATTTACTTTTCTTTTGGGAAGAGAAGACATGGGCACATAAAAGCCAAATAGCAACAGGCAGTAGCACATGGTAAACGCCAAAAAACGGGACTACAGACAGGGCCACCATGACATTAGAAAACCAGAATCCACAATCCTGATCAAATAATCCTGCACTGGCCCCAGATCTCAGAAAGAAGTGGAAAAGATTGAGGAATGAGTCAGAAAATTACTGCTTTAAGTAACAAACACACTCATTCTGGTGAGACCACATTAAGGTTTTCAGCATGTATCAAGATGTTAATCAAAGACAACATCTCTCCTCTGGACTTCCAAATACATTCGGTCCTTGTCTCATTCTAAAAGGCCAAGCAATTGGCCTAAAGTACAGATAAACTGAGTGCTCCAGGAAACTCTTGGAGGTCTTTCCATTCTCCTCCCACCTGATACCTGAAGCACCAAAAAGCCTTTAAGCTACCAGGAGGGGAAACAGAAACCATCTGGAGTCACTCTTGGAAGTCTAATCAGAAACCAATTCCTAAAATCTTACCTTGCTCATGGCAGTCAGGGCCGGGTCACAGGCAGCATCGAGATCCTGAACCAACAACTGAATACTGCTAGAGATGACACTGGAAATCAAACGAATTATCATGGTCATCCTTTAAAAATGACTTTCTGAATGTCTGACACAGCCCCATCCTAATGTTTTAGGCACCTGTGTAAAAACTGGATGCATCATTTCATCAGAAAAGCTCAAGTTTTATTTCAAAAGGGAATTAATGACAATGGAGAGGTATTCTGGCTCTTTCTTCATTCCTGCTGCATGTCCTGGTCTTACCTGGGTATGTCCTCAGCCAGATACAAAATTCTGATACTCATCCTGATACAAAATTCCATGGCTAGTCTCCCTAAGGAAACCTGGTCGCACAATGGTTAAGTGCCTGGCTGCTAACTGGAAGGTTGGCGGTTTGAACATACCCAGCGGCTCCATGGGAGAAAGACCTGGATATTTACTTCCATAAGATCACAGCCAATAAAACCCTATTGGCAGTTCTACTCTGTCACATGAAGTCACTACGCATTGAAAATCAACTTGACAACACCCAACAACAAAATCTCCCTAATCACAACCCCAGAGTCTGTCTTTTCTTCTCTCTCCAAAAATGTTTTCCCAAAATGTTTAAATCAGAAAGGGAAAACAAACAAACAAAAAAGTTAAGAGGGAGAGAAATGACCTAAAAAGAGAATTTTTATTTTTCCTCTATCAGCGGTTGATGTGAAAGCGGGAGCTTGGTCCATCCCTAGTGCATTTAATGCCAGTGGAACAGGAACTGACCACAACAAAGACACCACCAGGGAAAGAAATATTCCAAGAAGCCTTTACTGCATGAAACGTCACATTAATTTCTTGGATTTAAGAGCACTGTCCGCCCAATCCCTGAAAACACACATACCCCTCTGATGGCTAAAATCATATTCTAAAACATTGGAGATAGGGCAGGCCCTCCATGGATTTAGGAGGGTGCAGATGGGAGTCCTCGTACCTGACTTCATACAGGGATAGCCAATGAGGATTTATTCCCTTTTGTCACTCTGGATAGTGCAACGATAAAGGCCCTGTGAGCTAAAAGGATGCCTGCATCTGGGGAGCCAAAATGGGAAGGCGCTGCACCAACTTCTTAAAGGCTAGTGGAGAACAAGCCTGATCCAACAGAAGGCACTGGAAACCTGTTAGGTTCTACACTGATCTAAAGCCAACAGCCTGGGACATGCTGCTTCATAAAGGACTAAAGGCAGGTCTTGAGCAAATACATGCAAGGTACGTACGTGCTGAACGTGTCCATTTCTCCAGTCAGATTGATGCGTTCAATCAGGCTTACATCAACTTTTTCTTTGAGTTTTTCTTCCAGCTATTAGAAAAGAAGAGAAACAAAAACCTGCTTAACGACTCTCCCAAGGAATACTATAATGACGATAGTTAACATTTACTGAGTTTGATGATTCGGGCACAGTTCCAGGCACTTTTCATGTATTGACTCGTTTAATCCTCACAACAACCTTTTGAGGGACATACTGTAATTATTCTCATTCTACAGATGAGAAAATGGAGGATAAGAGAGGTCAAGTAATCTGCTTAAGATAGTAAGTGGTAGGGCCAGAACTAACACCTCCTCCAGAGCCTGTGTCCTTTAACACTGTGTTGTATTTGTTTCTTATGACACAATGACAACTCCTTTCATTAATTAAAAAAAAAAAAATCTAGATTTTAAGATGTCCCTTGCCCCATGAACTGTAGGCTTGCCCAACAACACTGGAAGCCTTTGGTGGTGGGTGGTGGTAAAATCAGTTAAAATATTCACTGAGTGCAATGTGGGGCAAGCACCATGTTATGTGACGGGGATATGGTGTTCCTGCCCTCATTAGCCTACAGTCTAGGACAGAAAACACTCAACAAGCTCCTAGCCGCCTCAAAGAAAAATACAACTGACCAAAAACCAAACCCGTTGCTGCCGAGTCAATTCCAACTCATGGCAACCTCATGTGTTACAGAGTAGAACAACTGACCAGGAACTGTAAATATCTCAAAGGATCCCTGGGAATGGATAAATCTAGCACTCCCAAGCCTATTACCCAA